GGGCTCGGGCAATCCACTCACCTCAGCCTCCCAAAGGCGCGGGATTACAGGCTGAGCCACCGAGCCTGGCTTGACTATATTTTTAAACATTCTTTATCAACATTAGTGATGAATTTGTGTTAGTTTTATTGAAACAAGAATTAACTTCTGTACCTCATTTCTTTTGAATTGAGTCGGAATTGTGATATAAAATAGGGACCCATTTTTCAGTCCTTCACTGATCTGATAGTTTCGGAATACCTACCTGCAGGAGTGGTTCCAAGTTTTGTAAGTCCTATGTATAATTTTGAGAGAGGAGAGCCTTCTTTCAGAATAAGATGAATATATTTTTAGGTAGAGGGCCTTGGAAGGGGCAGTGTATGCAAGGTGCCTGATCCTGGAGCCAGGCTTAATCTACCTTCCCCCCTCACCTGCTAATATTCTAACAAAACCAGCCTGATGTTGGAAGCTGAAATGAATGAGGACATCTCTCTGCAAATCAGATTTTCTTCTTGTTCTATATAGATTTGCCTTAGGGAGTAAAAATGCAGTATTATTATTAAAGCAAACAAAAATCAAATCAACCTAAGTCAGTGTTAAGTGTGTTCCAAATGATTCAATATAATATACTTTTTTTTTTTGAGTCGAGGTCTCACTCTATCATGCAGTGGCATGATCACGGTTTACTTCAACCTCCTGGGCTCAGGCGATCCTTCTGTCTCAACCTTCTGAGTAGCTGGGACTTCAGGCGCACACCACCGTGCATGGCTAATTTTATGATTTTTTGTAAAGATGAGGTCTCGCTATGTTGCCTAGACTGGTCTCGAACTCTTGGGGACAAGCAGTTCTTCAGTCTCAACCTCCCAAAGTGCTGGGGTTACAGGTATGAGCCACCGCACCTGGCCTATAATATACTTTACTAAGCCAGGATAATTCTACACTGCTTTTAGATCACTTTTTACCTGGTAATACTCAGTTTGAGCCGCTCTAGTTTGAAATGTGTTCTATCATTTCTGAAAGGAAGGTTTATTATTTGATTTTTTTCTTCTGAGGCCAGGGAACCGTGAAGCAGAGTCAGTTATCCAGAGAACTGAAAGAGGCCTAGAGCATGGGCCTGACAAAAGGAGCTAGTCCCCTCCCTGCCCCCCAAAAAGGAATTAATCCCCAAGGTGAGCAATTGGAAATATCTAAGGAGCAAAAGTTACCAAAGAGATTTCGTGAGGAAGGTTGTGATTTCAATTTGGAGTGCGCTTACCAAGTCGTCTGCTGGGGAGTTAAGTTTCTTTCTGCCTTTGTGATTATTCAGGCCTTACTGCTCAATGGATCCTTACCTGAAGATGAACAGGAGAGGCCCTTGGCCTTATGTGAACCAGGAGTCAATCCTGAAGAACAACTGGTGAGCTCCGTCTTTTGTGACTGGCCACTAAATCGGGTGTCTGTGTTTGACCTTTTTTTAGCATTTAACACTGCTGTTCATGACTTCTTGAAATGCTTTCTTGCTTGACTCCAGTTCTCCTGGTTTTCCTCCTGCATTTTTGACTACTGTTTCCTTATTTCTTCATTCATTTCTTGATTAATCAGCAAATGTTTATTTATTGAGTGCGGACTGTATGCCAGGCACCGTTTCAAGGTCTGGAGATACGGTGGTAGGAACAAAACAGACCTAAGACCCTACCCTCCTGGAGTTTTAAATTTCAGCCCCCCTTGAAGTTTCTCTTTTTCTGCCTTTGCCTTGGATGTTGGCGCTCCTCAGCGTTCCACGCTGGGCCCTCGTCTGTCCTATACCCGCCTGGGAGTATTATCTGCCTCCACGTCTTCACCCACTTCCCACCTGCTCCTCATGTATTGATTTCTAGCTCAGCTCTCTCTAGGGAGTTCTAGGTCTGTATATACAGGGTGCAACTGCCTGCTGATCATCTCCACTTGTAAGTCCCATAAGCAGCTCATCAAGTTCAATGAGTCCTAATAAGTAAGCAGTTTTTCCATCCTCTACCAGCCACCAAAATCACTTGTCTTTTTAGATCCCTGTTCTGGATACCCAAATGTCTCAAACAGAAATCTAGATATCATCCTTGAGGCCTTTCTGACACTTCCCTCTGCATCCAACCAGTCACCAAGTTTTCTCAGTTTACGTGTCTAATACCTTTGTCGAGTTTTTTTCCATTCTCACAGCCACTTCACTCAGGTCCTCATCCAGTGTTCCAGCCAGACTGGTTTTCCTGATTTCCTTCCTGTCCAACTCTAATCCATTTTCTATATAATGGCAAGAACAATTTCCCTTAAATATAAAGCGTATCATGTCATCCTTTTGCTTACAGCTTTTCATCAGTTCCCCATTGCCCTCACGGCCCTTTGTGATGTGGCCCCTACCTTCCTCTCTAGCTTCATCCCTTGCCATTTCTTCTTCCTTTTCCTCCTGCCCTGCACCCAACCCACACATACTTATTCTAACCTTTATCCAAATACATCTACTTTCTGCACCCTGGGCTTTCTGCTTCCATCAGAGGGCAGGAACTGTTTTCTCTTCTTGTTTGTATCCACAGTACAGAGTTCGCATCTAGTAGATGCTCAATAAATTTTGTTGGATGGGTGGCCTCTGAACTTCACAGCATGGGTTCATATCTCCTTTTTTCTTATATTCAGATTATAATCCAAAGTCGTCTGGATCAGAGTATGGAGGAAAATCAGGACCTAAAGGTATGTCAAGACATACATGTCACCTTTTGAAAAAAAATTATGGGAATGTTGCACACCAACTTCAGGAAGGAAAGAGATTTCACAATTGGAATGTTATTTGTATTGTGTCTTTACTTGAAAGAGAGACATAAATCCCAAATATGTCAAAAATGTGGTGGTGTTACTGGGTGTACCTTTCTGTATGTTTGAAGTATTTTGAATATTATTTCTTTTTCAATTAAAAAAATGGATCTAATATCAGTGTGTGGGGGTTTTTAAAAATAAATACTAAGGATTTTTTTTTAGGTCAGTGTTTTTTAGCTTTTTTTAAGCCATAAGTATATGACTAAAGCCATTAACTCTCTCCCTAGAAATATGCATGTATTTATGCATACATACTCACAGACCTAAATTTTTAATAGAGCAACTTTTGAGCCCATCTATGGAGTCCTAAGTTAAGAATCCCCATTTTAGACATGTTAATTGCAAACTCTTAATGTGACACAATAGGAAGAGAAGAGATCAGGATCTGTGTTATAAGTGTTCTCCTTCTAAATCTATTTCCTAGAGACAATTATATACATATATATTATCAATTATAAGGAGAGGTTAGTTACTCAGTATTTCGCTATTAGGCTAAATATGTTTGTGTTTGGTCCACAAAGAACAATAATACCCTTTTAGAGAATCAGAAGCACTCCATCCCTTTGCTGAACATTAAGAACTGAGATAATTATTTAATAACATTAGGGTTAGGCATATTTAGATATGATCATATATTCAGTGAGAGAGATTTAGATTGTTGCGGTTAAGTTTTCCTGTTGGTAAAGACTGTGAAATATAGAAATGAGAGGTTATGGGAATTGTGGGGTATCTTCTTTCTTGGCAAGACTCTTTCTACCCTGTTGGTTGAGCCTGGGTGCCACAGAGAGGAATGGAATGGGTTCTGTTCTTGTTTCTGCGGATCAGCCTTCACTGCTTACTGGACCAGATGTGCTTTCTGCCTGTGTAGAGGGTTAATTTTTTGTGGACTGATCAACTGGGTTTTGTCCTCTTGCTGACAGGATGAGGTAATGGTTTCTGAAGCAACCCAGATGCCACCATCTGATCTAACTATATTTGGTTTGCAGAAGGAGCTGCTAAAATGTAAACAAGAAGCCAGAAACTTACAGGGGATAAAGGTAAAAAGGAAGACATTTGATTCTTTAAATAAAGTCTCTACAAGGTAAAGTAGTCTGTTGATTAGTGGTGAGAGTTGGGTACTAGGAGCATAGTTAGGATTTTCTGGGGGCCTTTAGTAGGCTCTGTGCTATTGGTAAAGAAAGGGTTTTGTAGGAAGGAAGCGAGACATGTTGAGGAATATACCTTTGTTTTGTTGAGCCTTATTTCTAGTAGTTATGGCTCATGGTGCACTTCCATCTATGCCACCTTGAGTATCTCTATATGTAAAATAGTCCCCTTCAGCTGGAAAGAATGTCATTTTATTTATTTATTTATTTTTTTGGAGTTGAAGTCTCATTGTGTCGCCCAGACTGGAGTACAGTGGCACGCTTCCAGCCACCACAGCCTCGACCTGCTGGGCTCCAGCGATCCTTCCACCTCAGTCTTCCGAGTAGCCGGAGTTACAGGCACGCGCTACCACGTCCGGCTTATTTTTGATTTATTGTAGAGATGAGGTCTCGTCAAGTTGCCTGGGCGGGTCTCGAACCTGTGGGTTCAGGCAGTCCACTCATCTCGGCCTCCCAAAGCACGGGATTACAGGCTGAGCCACCGAGCCCGGCCAAGAATGTCCTTTTAAAAAATTGTAATTTACTTAGTTTTTGGATAGTTAGTAACATTCACATCATTTAAAGTTATGAAAGGATAAACCATGAAGAGTCTGCCTGTCAGCCCTGTCCCCCCAGTCACCTGGTTCTCTCTCGGAGGCATCTTGTCTGTTACCATCACATATGTGTGTATTATCATTTCCCCCCACATTTTTACTCAACAGTAGTATACTGCAAATACAGCTTGACACCTTGCTTTTTTCACTTAGCGGTGTACCTTGGATATCATTCTATTTTAGTACATAAAGACATTCCTAGGTCCTTTTTTTTCTTTTTGAGTTGGAGTCGCACTCTGTCACCCAGGCTGGAGTGCAGAGGCATGGTCACAGCCACCGCAGCCTTGACCTGTGCTCAGGCAATCCTTCAGCCCCAGCCTTCCAAGTAGCCGGAACTACAGGAGCACGCTACAACACCCGGCTATCTAGGTCTTTTTTTAATGACTGCATAGTATTCCTACATATGTATACTGATTAAATAAATTACTATATATGTGATCATTTATTTAACCGGGCTCCTATTGGTGGTATTTTGAGTTATTTCCAATCTTTTGCTAATACAAACAGCGATCTAACTAACAGCCTTGAATTTATGTTATTTACCTCAAGTGGGAGCATGTCTGCTAAATAAATACCTAAAAGTAGATTTTTTAAGCTGCAGCTTTCTCCCTCTTCCTTGTATGTCTTTTCAGGGCTAGACTAGAATCATTTAGCAGCATTTGCCAAAGAATATTCTGCAGCCTTAGTACTTTTAAAGTACTTGAAAAACAGATGTGTTCCGGGGTAAAATAAGTTTGAGAAATGCCCCACAGGTATGAAACTTCACAGTGAATAATAATAACATATTAAAGGATCTGTGAAGGTCTGTCCTAAAGAGATTGACTTGAAAGTGGTTTAGAATTATTTACCACAGAAGCGTCTTTTCTCCCACATAACTTATTAGCATCCCATGGAGCACACTTTGGGAAATATTCCTCCAGGCTACTGATGCCAAGGAGTTAGGCTGCCCTTGCCATGTACTGCTATGGCAGACAGTATCATTAAGAATGGGCTCCCACATTCCTCAGAGCCTGCACCATTTCTTTGCAGTTTGTAAAAAGAGAAATCAGGAAATATATTATTAGAAGCCAGCCCTAGTCCATTAGTTCCATTTGAAGTCACCTTGGTTGATGGTATGTTATAGCTGACCCTTACGAGTAAGTATATCCAGCCCTCATTTTCTTATGTATGGTAGAACCCAAGAGAGTTCAAGCTGAGGGAAAGAATGCCTAAAGCTGTTAAAATCTTAAGAAACTGGGGACAGGAGCCATGAGTCCAAGTTCTGAGGGAAATATAATCTCAACCTGGTCTGGACTAGGCATTGAAAGCCAATGGAAGCAAGACAGCAACAAGGCTCTGGAAGCCAGAGTGGGAGTGATTCCAGGGATTCTTTTCTTACCTTTCCATTCCTTTTCTTTTCTTTTTGGGGTCTCACTCTGTTGCCCAGGCTGGAGTACAGTGGCATGATCACAATGATCATGGCTCACAGCAGTCTCAACTTCCTGGGCTTGGGTGATCCTGTCACTTCAGCATCTTGAATAGCTGGGACTGTAGTTGCATGCCTCCTCGCCTGGCTTATTATTTTGATTTTTTGTAGAGACAAGGTTTTGCTATGTTTCCCAGGCTGGTCTCAAACTCCTGGGCTCAAGCAATCTAATCTGCCTGTCTCTGCCTCCTAAAATGCTAGGATTACAGGTGTGAGCCACCATGCCCAGCCAATTCCAGGGATTCTTTATGAACGAAATTGTGGTTCTACAATCTGATTATTTCACTAAAGACATGGAGAGCAGCATGTATTTTTACCATAATCATCACCTTTCTGTGCTGTATACTGTAACCTACAGGAATAGGGTCCATCTCTCTAGGAAATAGGAACTGGGCAGAGAGATGAGAAAGCCAGGATGAGAGAAAGCTGAGTGCATTGTCCAAGCTCAGTATCACAAAATTCGTAAATGGACTTATAATTTGAATCTGGGTCTGTCTGATCCTGGAAGCCACTCATTCTCTCTAGGATACCATGCTGTCAGGGTTGAAATACAGGGTAGAGGTGAGTAGCAAGTAGAACAAAAAAAAGTTTTCAGTTAGCTTGGTAGGACAATGGATAGGATTTTCCTTTAGATGCTGGTGTCCTAGAGAGGGACAGAAACACCCCTGCTCAGCAACTTACAAGTCATTTTCCGGTTTGCCATAACTAATGCTGGATACACAGTAAAAGGTTTAGTAACTTTTAGTAATAAGTGGCTGATTGATTAATTGAGACCACATAATTAGGATGCCTTTTCCCCCCAGGATGCCTTGCAGCAGAGATTGACTCAGCAGGACACATCTGTCCTTCAGCTCAAACAAGAACTACTGAGGGCAAATATGGACAAAGACGAGCTGATCAACCAGAATGTGAGTGAAATGAATGAACCCTGACCTCACTGACAGAATAGGACACCCTGGCCCCATTAGCAGAACAGGATACTACATGAAGTGCTGTTAGACCTGCCATCCTCATCTCCTACCTTGCTTCTGGGACACCTGCCCTAAGTGTCTGCGATTATTTTTATTCCCCATTAAACTCACCTCTATTCCTAGTGAAAGCCGCACACCACGCTGGGCAGGGAAGTCCTTGAGCTCTTCTTCAACTTTGAGGACACTGAGGCGAAATTGTGGTTCTACAATCTGATTATTTCACTAAAGACATGGAGAGCAGCATGTATTTTTGCCATAATCATCACCTTTCTGTGCTGTATACTGTAACAGCCAACATTAAGTAGCTGATTTCCTTGAGGGTTCGCGGACAATACCTTCATGCCAGTGAATTCTTTCTTATCCTTGCAGGTGGATCTGCAGAGGAAGCTAGATGAGAGGAACCGGCTCTTGGGAGAATATAAAGTAAGAATGAATATGGGAAATGACTTTTACCTGACCTTTTATGAACAGCCCATTGTTGTTGTTGCTCAAAGAGCACTTAAGTATTCTGTCCTCATCTTGCTTTCTGGAAGAAAGTCTCTCTGTGTTCCTTGATTCACTAGCCCTCAACAACAGACAGCACAGTTAGGAGGAGTGCAGAGCTAGGGGTCTGGAAACTTCAGTTCTAGTCTCACCTTTATCTTTAAGTAGCATGGATGGCTCACAGTGGTCCTCCTCCAAATGGTAGTTCTCTTTCTCTTTACCCTTCCATGAATACTTTGCACTGTGTAAGACTGTTGTGGGGTGTAAAGCCTTCCTGGTGTATCTTGAGGAAAGGACTGTTGCCCTGAGGCTCTGCTTTACTCCAGTGGAAATTGCCTTGCAGAGGGCAAGCTTTACCGTGTCCTTGGTTTTGCCCCACCTCTGAAAGCTCTGTCTCTCTTGCAGAAAGAGCTAGGGCAGAAGGATCGCCTCCTTCAGCAGCACCAGGCCAAGTTAGAAGAAGCACTCCGGAAACTCTCCGATGCCAGTTACCACCAGGTCAGAACATACTCAGCTGCTGACTTTCCTGCACCTTTGGCCTGAAGAAATTCTTTTCTGATTCAGTCTCTGCTTTGCAGGTGGATCTGGAGTGGGAGCTAGAACACAAAGATGTCCTTCTGGCTCACTGCATGAAAAGAGAGGCAGATGAGGTAACCAGAAACTCAGGTTCCCCCTCCCACATGTGTGAGGGAAACAGATTTTGTTTCAGCCCCAGAGCCGAACGAAGGCCAGAGGCTCATTTGTTGGAGGCTCTGGGGTGAGAGAGTTAGGAGTGCAGGTTCCGGGATTAGAAAATCTGGTTTCAGGTTCCACCTTTAATACTTGTACATTGTGTTGTTTTACATTGCTTAACTTCTGAGTCTTAGAAATAAGGCTACCTGGGAAATGGATATAATAACGATTCAGTCTGTCATTATGAAGAATATTTAAGATAATCCACATAAGTAACTAAACACACTCCCGTTGATCCACCTGGCAGAGTCAGGCTAAAAAAATTAGCTGTTATGTTTTTTTATTGGCCGGGCGTGGTGACTTAAGCCTGTAATCCCAGCTCTTTGGGAAGCCTAGGTGAGAGGATTGCCTAAGCTCAGGGGTTTGAGACCAGCCTGAGCAACTTGGTGAGACCTTTTCTCTACAATAAATCAAAAACTAAGCTGGGCATAGTGGCACGCGCCTGTAATTCCAGCTACTTGGAAGGCTGAGGAGGAAGTTCGCCTGAGCTCAGCAAGTCGAGGCTGCGGTGGCCATGAATATGCCACTGCACTACAGCCTGGGGGACAGAGTGAGACTCCTACTCAAAAAAAAAAGGGCAACCCCTTCAAGTTCCCTCCTGCTGTCGGAGCTTTTCTGTCCTCTCAATAAATCTTGCTTTAAAAAAAAACTATATATATATAAAATCAATAAAAAGCAAAAAGCAGATGGGGCTGGAGCAGCATTCTATGACCCTCCAGTGCCACGGCAGAGCCTAGGTTTGAGGGCTCCAGGCTGAGGTGGTCATTTCTTTCCATATTCAGCAGTGCCTACTAAGCGTCAAGTGCTGGGGATATAGTAGTGAGCAAAGGGGAAAAAAAATCTGTGATGAGGGATATATTTTAAGAGTACCGTTAAGCAAATAATTATATACTCTGTCAGGAAGTGATAATTTAAAGAAGAAAAGTAAAACAGGGTTTAGAATTCTCTCTTTAACAAGCAGAGTTTCTTTGTGCTACTATAGGTAACCAACTACAGCAGTCACAACTCTCAAAGCAATGGCTTTCTTCTTCCAGCAGTGGGAAAAGGAGCTGCTTCCATCATGCACAGAGGGGTAGGTGCCTGGATTTGAGTACAGAGCTGCCACGTCTTGCTGAAGCCAGAAAAGTGCCAAAGCTATTCCCTGTGGACTGGGTCTTTTATATTCCAGTTCCCTAATTATTGTATCTGTGGGGTGTGTGAACATGTGAGATACTTTGTTTTTTTTTTGTTTTTTTTTGTTTTGACTTGGAGTCTCACTCTGGCGCCCAGACTGGAGTGCAGTGGCCGCTCCTGGCCACTGTAGCCTCGACCCGCTGAGCTCCGGCGATCCTTCCGCCTCAGCCTTCCAAGTAGCTGGAACTCCAGGTACGCGCTACCATGCCCGGC